AAACCAGGTGGATCGACGCAGAGGGGGGGGGGGACGGGAAGGGATGAGCGGAAAAGCTCTTTCGTAGAGTGAAAAGAAACGGGAGGAGAAGAGATCTAGCGCAACATCGATGTCTGAGCACGCGAATAGGTCGTTCCAGTCAGTGCGATGTAGGGACCGAAAGAGATCGAGGTAGTTCGCGCTGCTGAATCTTCTGAAGTATCGAGGTTCTAGCGAGGGCCGGTCGAACTCAACGGGGGAAGATAGGTCGAACACGCAAGCAACTGGAAAATGGTCAGAGGAAGCTATGAAGTCCAGGGTGCAAACCGAGCTCAAAGAGGCCCAGCCGTTGTTCGAGAACCAGACATGGTCAAGGCACGTTTCGAATGAGGGACGAGTAATGAGATTATGAGCCTCAACGAGATTGAGTTTATGTAAGGACTCAACGAATCTGGAAACGAGGGCAGTAGAAAGTCTGAGGTTGACATTAAGATCACCGAGAAGGATGAAAGGGGCGTTGGAGGGCTCCACCACGGACTCAATGAAGTTGGAGAGAGCCTCAGAGAGTGCAGTGCGGCAGGAGTAGATGGGAAGGAGGCGAAAGGAGTGGTGACCGAGTAAGATGGAGAGCGCAATAGCCTGGATATCTCCATCCTCAAGACTGTATACATCACTATGGAGAACATTGAGGGACTGGCTGACGGAAACCTAAACACCGCCGTAGGCTGAGTCTCTGCACGCAAAGTAGTGGCAGAAGCCCGGTATCTGGTAGGTGGGTGCTTCTTCAGGAAGAAGCCACGTTTCCGAGCAGCGGATCAAATCGTAGGAGTCTCCAAAACTATCACAGATCAAATCGAACTTGTAAGCAGCTCGGAGCGAGCGGGTGTTGAGGTGGAGGATGCGATGCGTAGCTTTCCCGAGTCACTTCGGAGGGGTGCCCGAGGTCGATGGTCCGTCGGCCTCTGGCGGCGCCGCTGCCGTGTCCGTGAAGTCAGTGGGTGCAGTGGAGGTAACCGGTGGGGTAGCTGGGCAAGGATTGGGGAGTGAGTCGGAGGTGCGGTCCGGGTGTATGAATCGGCCACCGAATCTGTTGATGAGAAGGCCAGCTGGCCAGAGTTCGGGGTTGAGGAACAAACCAGAAGCCTCGGGACGAGTCTTGATGACGAACGAAACCGCGCGCGGGGCATCAGGGGACAGGGGCTTGAATTTGGAGACAGAAAGAACTCGTTCCGAAATGCCTCGACAGAACTCTAGGAGAGAAGATGTAGTGGTGCTTGGGTGAGAGCGACCGATGAATATCCTAGCTGGATCAGGAGCCCGGGAAGCAACGACCAGGCCTGCGTGAGGGAGACCGGTGCCGAAAGCAGCGCTGTGGCGACCGTTTCGTAGGGGGGGGCCTGGGGGCAGGAAGAGTCGTACCGTGATGGGTCGCCGGATCCAGATGTTCAAAACTCGGGGGCGCGGTAGAGGGAGCGATGTGAATCGGCGTATGTTGATCGAGGGAACGCAAGGGATTTCGGGATACTGGAACAGGAGCCGTAGGATTGACAGACCGTGAGCGAGGAGCAAGCCCCTGCAAGGGTTGCTGACAACATTGAGTTTGGGGTGCTGGACCGGGTACAAGCTCGGAGGGGAAAGAAGCGCGGGGAGGGACCGGGGACTCAAGACACTCGAGACGTTTCAAAAGAAAATGCTTCTTTTGGCGGAGATTGTCGATCTCGTTGAGGGCCTGGTCGAGGCGGGTCAAGAGGGTACGGGTTTGAACGCTACAGGCCTCGAGGTCGGGGAGGTTCGTGTCGGCCTCGTTGGAGGTGCAGTAGGTCACGGACTAACGAATTGAGATCGTCAATGGGAACATGCGAAGAACAAGCAGCTGAGGCCGGCTCGCTCGCGTTTGAATCAAGGGTGTTTGTCAACAGTAAGTGTCAAGGCAGCGAGTGGAGCTGATCCGACACAGAGGGGGATGGGGATGGTGAGTGGGATTTCACCGGGCGGCAAAGAACACAGCGGAACTCTGAACCTGTGGGGTCCGAGAGCATCAGCCGCGCCGCGGTGGGGGAGGCACACTTCCTATGGGTCCTGGAGTTGCAAGAGGAACAGGGGAATGGTCGGTGGTTGCCTCGGATGCCAAGGTTGCAGGATGGGCAGGCGCCCGGGACCGGCGTGGAGGGATTTATCTCGGTGGGAGACATGGCTGAGCGTAGAGTGGGGACTTCAGGCTCCGGGCGAACGAGGGAGATGAGTAGGGTTGAACTGTCACCGGAGATTCACCAGGGGAATAGGCAACACAGAGTTTGAGGGATGAGGCTGAGAGAGACGCGAAAGCACGACCGGCGGATTCCAATCCCAGACAGGGGTAAGTTTTTTTTTTCTTGTTTTTTCAGGAGGTTCTCAATTTTTATAACAAAATAGTCCATCACTATACGTGTTACGCTTTGGCATCATTTCACATGCGTCTTTCAGTGATCTTTTCTCCCTTTCTCACTTTGTTTCTCTCTTCGCACTCGTCTACCGTCGCTCAGTAGTTCAAGTCTTCCGTCAAAATACGATCCGTTTATCATAAATATATTATATATCACCGATAACGGTCAATCGATTTAAGAACAATTATGTGCCAGGAAGTAAGCGGGTCATCAACGTTCGATAGGTTTCCGTGGCATAGCATTTGGGCATCCCCTTCTTCTAACTAGGATTTATTGGTATGACCGGGAGGCATATGAGCATTCACAACTGTGCTTACAGTTTGGAATCTTTATTCACGGGTCGATTCGCAGGCGAATTGAATCAACGCCTCTGGTTTATCTTGGGCATGGCGAATTCAATGAGGAGACCTCTGAGCCTCGTGTAGAAAGTCCACAGATCACAAAAAAACACTGCTTAGGTCTCTCGTACTTGTCGCTGAATCTCTCGAAGAATGTTCAGGAGTCTTGGAGTTCAGAAAGATATATGGATGCAGAGTAGGACTCTCCCATCGCCCCCATGGAGCAGGAAAAATGATTGCACAGTAATGAAACGGCTGAAATATATGGGCATCGCTGGTCAGATACGCTAAAGAATTATAGAAGAAATTTTGGAAAGCATTACGTTCGATCTCGTAGCTCTCGATTCTCCTCTGATGATCGAGTGGAAAACCCCGATATTTGGTACAATGCCGGACCGATATTACTGCTTTATCCCGTAGGGGAAAAATTATCGTCATGAAATTAGATCTAGGTCTCGATTCTCCTCTGATGATCGAGAGGAAAACCCCAATATTCGGTACAACAACGCACCGATATTACTGCTTTATTCTATAGGGGGAAAAGTTATCATCATCAAATCAGATCATGCTGAAATTAGTAGGCTGCTGCGACGTCTCTCGAATCGCGCGCCTTGCCGGAACGGTCGTGGCATCATGTGGAGAGAAGTGGTGGAGAGGATTTCGTTTCCAGCGAACACCGGAGGAAAACTTGATAATTTTCCCGGAATGACTCGAGAACGATGCGATTGATCGAAGTGGAAAAGTACTTCTTACGCTAGCGGGAATGATTCGGCATCGAGTCAAAGTAAGTTGAAGTCTTTTGACAGACAAATAACCCCGATATTTGGTACAATGACGGACCGACATTACTGCTTTATTCTATAGGGGGACTAGGGGGATGTCTCATGCCAGTCAGATTTCCCCTCTGCAGCGGTATCTACCTAGGGATTTCGTCTCGTACTTGAATACAGCTGATGATATATAGAAATAATTGTATGATACGTTCTGTCGTGAGCTCGCGAGAACACCTAAGCCTGAAGATAAACCTCCCACAATTCCCCATCGATAAAGTCTTACGACCGCCGGCTACAACAAGAGTAGCAGCAGCAGCAGCACCCTGTCACAAAGCCAATAGACAGGACGCTGCGATTCAAAGGAGCATCTCGTGACTATTCGACAAGAAGAAGCTCCTTGATAACTTTACATCGAAGCCTGATACCTCGGCTTCGTCGGAGGTATCGCCTCGCGAGCCTCCGCTACTTCCACAACCTCAAGCTTCCTTGAAGACTTCGGAAACCATTGAAGATCATTTAGCCTAAGTCGCGCCTTGCTTTATATCTTTTCTTCCTCATTCGAACAGCGAAACCGTAGAATAGGTAGGTCGACAAGCCATCGAGATTAACATTGAACGTAAAAATATCACTTAGTGTCTATATTTTTAGGTTGGCGCCCTCTTCTTCTCTCTAACTTTATCTCCGATTCTCTGTCATGCGCAAACAGTTGTTCCTTAATTAGTGTCCGCATCTCGATCGTCATCCTCTTCCAGGACCGTCGTCAAAATGTCGGAGTCGCAACGTCGACTTTCGGTCGCTTTGCGCGTCATGTATACGTGGGAGGGGGTTCGAGGGCAGAAGATTTCTGAAGGTAAACGTCTTCAGATTTCAACTCTTGGAACGGCACAAAAAGTCGTTGGCTGAAGCTAGAGGAGCTGGAGAGGCCAATGGTATCTTGTCGTATCAGCAATTCCCTGGTTTCCC